TGCCATCCAGTCCAGGCAGCATCCTGGTAAATCTCTTTTGAACCCTCTCTAAAACTTCCACATCTTTCCTGTAATGAGGTGACCAGAACTGAACACAGTTACACTTCCCTATTTTTAATTTGTCCCATGCATCACTGCCCAAAACTTCAATGACTTGAATGCATTTTTCAATTCTTTCTACAACAGAGATTGCTAAGCATGCAGATTCCTCTGTACTTTCCTGTTTCCTCAGCAGCATCAGATGCAATAAGAGATCATAAAGCAGACCAATTAAAGACTTGTCATGTTAAGAAATCTTTAAGAATAGTAAGAACAAGCTGGCGTGTGCTGTGTTTTAAAGCATTTGTTGAAACGTGCCCTAGCATTTATTAAACTGATGTCTAAATTAACATCATGAGTAATTTAATGGTTTCTCAGCTGAGGAATGGCTGAACTACGTTGATTGAACTCAGAAAACTCAGCAGAGGGGCACAGCTAAATTTCGTTTTCAGTCAGGTATCACATGTGGATCTTCCCAGACTGTCTGCCTCAGTACCTCGGTATGCAATATTTATCAACAGAGCCATAAGAGAAGCATAAATCATTGATAAGCCAGAATTTACTCTCCTGGTAAAAATGAGTCCAATTGTGCTTACTTATGCACAAACACAACAATGACTTTAGATAAAGGGTGGATGCGTAGTTAAACATTAATATCCAAAGGTTTTGTGAAAATTGTTACCATTCCACTAATACCTTAGCAAAAACTGCACAGTGTTCTCTGCCTCACCATTGAAATGCATTGTGTCAAAGAAAATTAACTTTACAAGACAATTATTTTTAAAATGCCCCTTTAAACATATGAGTTTGAAGAAATGTCCATATAATCTGATGGCTGTGCGAGACAAATTTAAACAGAAACTCACTGAAGTGCCAAGTTATAGCTTTAATACCTTACACAATATTTCACTGAAAAGAGACAGCCACAGCTAAGATGCAGCAAAGAAGTCACTTCTGTTTAAAAAAAAGGATGGTTTTGTGTTCGTAACCAAACACGATGTTGTTAAGAAATCAGTTTCTGTTCGAAAGTCAGGGAACAGAACTTAAATGGGTTCTTGAATATTTAAGGAAGGAGTCACTGGGGTGTGCCTTCTTGGTGATAATTATATCCAGGAAAAAGACTCAAAGTGAAACAATTGTTCAAGGACAGTTGAAGTTTTGACCTGGTACAACTTATTAAAAATCTGCTACAGAGCTGTGAGTAACTCTGCTACATATTCGTCAGGGCACGGCACAGAACAAAAGTGTTCCATAAGAGGTAGTTCATTAGTCAGTTTGTGGAAAACTTACTTTTTCCTTTAGTTTGATATATTAGTTGCCTGTTAATTAATATTTGAAATTCGTTGATTCAGATTGTGCCTTACAGTCAAAGTCCAAAAAACTGATTATTTGTTTTCTTGTTGGTTGCTTGGGAAGTCTGTAGTCTTTGACCATCAGATCACCATGAAGGTCTTTCCTTCTCAACCTCTCCCCTCAACTGAGGCATGTTGAGCCTCAGATTAAGCTACCACTGGTTGCCTCTCTCTGAGAGAGCAACCCTATGGTCTCCAGGCATTGTGGTGGCTATAAAACATCTTGTTAAAGAAACTGCTAACAATCTCCGCTTGGTTTACAACAATTGAACTGCATGTAGATGCTAAATTTGGGAGTTAAACTTGACACAGGAGTTAAGTCTCATCATTACAAGTCTAAGTACCCTTTTACTGATACCAAATGTTAATTAATAACAGCCTCTCGGTCATTGAATATTAACTGTTCAAGTGTGTAGTCACATTCTATCAGATTCTAATTGTTGGAGGTTTTCCTCGCGTTTTTTTGCCTTTGCAAATCCAATCTGCATTTCCTGTCTTTATTGTACTGTCTGAACCTGATTCTACAATGAACGTCCACACTTCGGTCTCAGACTTTACACCGTTAATTTCACAATCCTTCAATCTTGTTCATTAACGGTTGCCTTCTCTGTGCACTCTAGTTCCAGATTTCCTGCTTTCCTCACTAGGCCATTATCAGCCCACACTTTCAGCAAATTGTCATGTAGTAAATTAAAAATTATACATGTGTATCTGTGCCTGCCAAAGCAAATTGTGGCCTTCACTTAATTTTGGAAGTAATGCATCTCCTGGCATCAATTAATTTTAGGCATTGGTAATCTTACAATCACAGTAAAATTAGAGCTCCTTTCCTTTGCAGCCCCTGGCCCCAGTTGCTTTTCAACAATGTAATTAAGTGCTTTGCATTTTATATATGCTATTTCACATTTTATGTGTATACATAAGATAAACATTTGATTTATAAACCAATCAGAAAAGGAAATCAAAATTTGGTATTTTGATTTATTAATGTTTAAGAAGGTGTTTCATAAGAAACTTGACAAGTTAAGGGAAAATATACTTGACAATAAACTGGTTAAATGAGGAGAGTTAGACTATTCAAAAAGAGAAATTGCTAGATTGGGTAGAGGTACTCATAAAACATTCCAGAAATCTTCTGAAGATAATTTTCAACAGTAGTCAGAAAATGGGAGCTTAGCAAAAAGCAAAGCAATTAAAGAAAATAAAATATACAGGTCCAATGATAAAGGTACTGCAGTTAACTCATGGAACAACCAGGGAGCCCACAGGATATGACAGAAGGTAAGGTAAATGGCTTTTAAAGTTGAAATCGAAGTCTTTACAAAGTTAAACTGGCAACGTTTAGGCAGAGTTCTGGGCATGTGGAAGAAAGTAAACTTCAATTACTTGTAAATGGAAAGAAAATGCAAGGAAACACTGAAAAGAAACCAAACTATTTTGAGAGTACAATGAAACAGGCAAATAGATTTCAAGGGTGAATGTCAAGGGCAATACTGAACATACAGAATATCACATTTAGATTATAATGAAGCAAAGAGCTAAATGCCGGAAATCTGAAACAAAAACAGAAGTAGCTGAAGAAATTCAGCAGGTCTGGCTGCATCTGTGCTGTCAATACACAGATGCAGCCAGACCTGCTGAATTTCTTCAGCAATTTCCATTTACGTTATAATAGTTACAAAAGTATGTAATGGTATTTATTTTCCTTTCCTCTTTCACAGGATGTGAGCCTTGCTAGCAAAGTCTGTAGTGTTGACCATCCTTAATTTCCTTGAACAGAGGTGTTAAATCATTAAAAATCTTTTTACCGTATGAAGAGAGAGCAGGAGTATGTCATTTGGCTCCTCGAGTCTGCTCCACCATTTAAGAAGATCACGGCTGATCTGATTGGAGCCTAAATCCACATTCCCATAAGAACATAAGAACTAGGAGCAGGAGTAGGCCATCTGGCCCTTCGAGCCTGCTCCGCCATTCAATACGATCATGGCTGATCCTTTCGTGGACTCAGATCCACTTACCCGCGTTCTCACCGTATCCCTTAATTCCTTTATTGTTCAAAAAAAATCTACCTTTTTTTTAAAAAGTGTTTACTGAAGTAGCGTCAACTACTTCACTGGGCAAGGAATTCCATAGATTAACAACCCTCTGGGTGAAGAAATTCCTTCTCAGTTCAGTCCTAAATCTGCTCCCTCTAATCTTGAGGCTATGCCCTCTTGTCCTAGCTTCACCTGCCAGTGGAAACATCCTCTCTACTTCTATCTTATCTATTCCCTTCATAATTTTATATGTTTCTGTAAGATCCCCCCTCAATCTTCTGAATTCCAATGAATATAATCCCAATCTACTCAGTCTCTCCTCATAAGCCAACCCCCTCAACTCCGGAATCAACCTAGTGAACATCCTTTGCACCCCCTCCAGTGCCAGTACATCTTTTCTCAAGTAATGTATCCCTATAACCTTTCACCCCCTTGTTTAATAAGAATCCATCGACCTCTGCGTTAAAAATATATAAAAGATTCCACTGCTTTTTCAAGAAGAGGGTCCCAAAGAGTCGACTTTCTATGAGAAAATAAATGTTGCCTCATGTGTATCTTAAATGGGCCTTATTTTTAAAAGTCATGCTGGTTCTAGATTTATTAGAGCAAACATCCTCTCCACAGCTACCCTGACAATACCCCTCAGGTTTTTGCATGTTTCAATCAAGTTTGCCTTTTATTCTTTGAATTTTCAGTGGTTACAAGCTTAGTCTTTCCAAATTTTCCTCATAAGATACCCCACCACCTGCTATGAAGAAGGTTGACTGGACCAGAAACATCAACTCTGATTTCTCTCCACAGATGCTGCCAGACCTGAAATTTTCCAGCAATCTCTGTTTTTGTTCCACCCATCCTATTTATTAGTGCAGTAATCCATCTCTAAACTGTTTCAAACGTTTAGATCTTCCCTTAAATAAGGATATTGTGCACAGTACCTCAAGTGTGGGCTCACCATGCCCTGTCTAACTGAAGCATAACCTCTCTAACTATATATTCAATTCCTCTCACAATAAATTATAACAATCTATTAGCCTTCTTAAATACTCACCGTATCTGGATAATTCATGCACAAAGACACCAAAATCCCACTACACCTCTGAGCTCCATATTTGCTCACTATTCAATAATATTCTTTATTTTTAATGGACAATTGCACATTTTCCCACATTATTCTCCATTTGCCATATCTTTGCCCACTTGCTTAGCCTATCTATATCCTCTTCACAACTTAGCTTCCTATTTATCTCTGTGTCACCAGCAAATTCGACAACAATGCCTTCCATCCCTTCTTCCAAGTCACTTTTATAAATGGTAAACAGTTCAGGTTGTAGCAGCAATCCCTGTGGCACATAATTCATTACATTCTGCCAATCTGAAAAAGACCATATCTGCCTACTCTCTGTTTCCGGTTATCCATTCAATCTTCATCTATGCCAATATGTTACCCCCGACAACTTTCTGCAATTACCTTTCATGTGGCACTTTTGCAAATCTGTTAATTTCTTTTGCATTTCCTCAAGGATTGTTTGGTAAAGTACACTGAAGCATGGGTGATTCTGTAAGGTTAACCTACCCAGTCAAAGGACAAGATCCAACACCCTTGGGCAATTCCAAACAAGACATTCAATGTACGCCGTGAGTGTCCTGCGACAACATGAGTAGTTGTTTCATTCACTTGGTCCGAGAACAAAAAGCCACCGAGCTGTTTCACAACTTGAATTACAATAATCTGATTCCTGTTTGAAAAAAAAACATTTAAAATATCTTTTATATAATATACTATCAAAGAGTTGCTGTAAAATGTTATGAATAGATGACATGGACCATACTATCACAGCTGTACTTCTCTGCCATTGAAAGATCAATAACCAGAGTTCAGATTGAAGATATTTGGGAAATGTTCCAGGCAACATGTGAAAATGTAGTGGAAACAAGTTCAATAGTAACCTTCAAAAGAGAATTGGATATTTTTTTTTTAGAGGAGACCTTTAGAGGGCAGTGGGTAAAGACCAGGAGAGTGAAACTAATTGGGCAGCTGTTTCAAAGATCTGGCAGATTCAATGGGTTGAAAGTCCTTCTGTGCTGTAAGGTTTATGATTGAAAGGCTAGTGTTGCTTATAAAAATGGATACAATAGATGAGTGACGTAAATGATGTTACATGCAAACAGACATCGCAAAGTGCATTATGGGCACAGAGTATTTTTGAAGTGTAGTCACTGTTGGAGGAAATATGAGAATTAATTTTGTACACAAAGTCCTACAAACAGAAATGTGTTAATAATTTGATCCTTTTTTTATGATTTTCAATTAGGGGTAACTATTGGCCAGAAGCGGGGATATTTGCCAATGATATCACAATGTTCAGCACCATTTGTGACTCCTCAGATACTGAACCAGACCACGTTCAAACGCAGTAAGATCTGAACAATATCCAAGTTTCAGCAGACAACTGGCAAGTAATATTCAAAGAACAAAGAGCAGTACAGCTTAGGAACAGGCCCTTCAGCCCACCAAGCATGCACTGACACATGACGCCTTTCTAAACTAAAAAACTTTTGCCTCTATTTGTTCCCTATTCCTCTACTCCCTGCCTTTCAAATATCTGTCAAGATGCCTCTTAAAACATTGTGATAGTATCTGCTTTGTTAAAAAACTTGCCTGTCACATCTCCTTTAGACTTCCCCCCTTTTACTTTAAACCTATGGTACACCTTAAACATTTCTACGCTTGGTAAAAGATTCCTAATATCCATTCTATCCATGCTTCTCATAATTTTGCAAACCTTTAGCAGGTTGTCCCTTAACCTCTGACATTCAAGTGAAAACAAAACAAGTTTTTTTCAATCTTTCCTCATAGCAATTACCTTCTAAACCAGGCAACATCGTGGTAAACTTTTTCTCTACTCTGTTGAAAGCCTCCACATCCTGCTAGCAGTGTAGTGACCAGAACTGTATGCAATATTCCAAATGTGGCTGAACTTAAGTTCTATACAGCTGCAACATGACTTGCCAATTTTTATACACTATGCCCTGACTGATGAAGGCAAACATGCCATACACCTTTGTGACTACCTTATCCACTTTTGTTGTCACTTTCTGGGAACTGTGGACCTTTAATGCTTATATCCCTCTGTATGTTAATGCTTCTAGAAGTTCTGCCATTTCCCTCCTGCACTGGACGTTCCAAAATGCATCGCCTCAAATTTGTCCAGATTAAATTCCACCTGCCATTTCTCTGCCCAAGTCTCCAGATAATCTATGTTCTGCTGTAACCTTTGGCAATCCTCCTCATGACCCATAGCTCCCCCAATCTTTGTGTTTTCCATAATCAAACCACCTACATTCTCCTAAAAATTATTTAACAACAAATGACAGGAGTTCAAACACTGGTGCCTGTGGAACACCCTGTCACAGATCTCCAGCCAGAAAAACACCCTTCCGCCGCAACCATCTTCTATGACCAAGCTATCTATCTTACCAGATCACTGCAGATTCCAGGTGATTCACCTTCTGTATCAGCATACCACGAGGGACCTTGTCAAAGGCCTTGCTGCTAAAGGCCATGCAGACAACAACCAACGCCCTGCCCTTATCAAACACCTTTGTCACTTCCTCAAAAAACTCAACCAAGTTTATGAGACACTACCTCCTCTTCCCAAAGCCATGCTGCCTATTGTTTACAAGTCCATAGTTTTCCAAATGTGGGTGAATTATGTCCCTAAGAATCTTCTCCAACAATTTACCTACCACTGATCTAAGGCTCATTGACCTGTAATTTCCCAGATTACCCCTATTACCCTTCTTAAACAAAGGAATAACATTGGCTATTCTCCACTCCTCTAGGACCTCTCCTGTGACTAAAGAAGATCCAAAGATTTTGTACAAGACCCCAGCAATTTCCTCCCTTGCACCTCTCAGTATTCTGGGATATATCCCATGTGGTCCTTGGGACTTGTCTATCCCAACGCTCTTCAAAACATACAATGCTACCTCTTTTTTTTATACCGACATGTCTTAGAATATCAACATATCCCTCTCATGACTCACCAGTCACGATGTCCTTCTCTGTTGTGAATACTGATGAAAGGTATTCGCTAAGGACCTCACGTGCTTCCTTTGGCTCCACGTACAAATTCCTCCTTTGGCCTTGCGTGGACCAAACCTTTCTCCAGCTATCCTCTTGCTCCTTATTGGTGTATAAAATGCCCTGGGATTTTCCTTATTCCTGTTTGTTTCCTGTCAGCCCCTTTTCGCCTACCTAACGCCTTGTTTAAGTTCTTTCCTGCTTTCTTTACATTCTTTGAGGGCTTGGTCTGTCTTCAGTTTCCTAAACCTTATGAATGCCTCTTTTTTCTTTTTGGCTAAGCCCATAATTTCTTGTCACCCAAGGTTGCTAAATCGTGCCATGCCTATTCTTCATTTTCACAGGAACATGCTACTCCTGAATTCTAATCGTTCGGCCTTTAAAAGACTCATGACAGATGTGGATTTACCCTCAAACAGCCATCCTCAATCTACATTTCCCAGTTCCAGCCTAATTTTGTTGCAGTTTGCCTTTCCCCAGTTTAGTAGTTATACCCGATGACTACTCTTATCCTTACCCATAATTAACTTAAATCTTACTGTTCTCAAAATGCACCCGCACTGAAACTTCGATCACCAGGCTAGGCTCATTCCCCAATACCAGATCTAGTATGGTCTCTTCCCGAGTTGGACTGTTTACATATTGTCTTAAGAAACCATCTTCGATGCACCTAACAAGACTTCCCCCTCATCATACAAGCTGCTGGCACTAAGCAGATCCCAGTCAATTCAGGGGAAATTAAAATCACCCCCACAACAACCCTGGTGTTCTAAAATTGTTCCATAATTTGTCCACATATCTGTTGCTCTATCTTCCACTTCTGTTGGGAGGCCTCTAGTGCAACCCCAAAGTTATTGCACCCTTCCTACTCCTGACTTCTACCCACATGGCCTTGCTGGATGAGCACTCCAAGGTATCCTCCCTCAGTACAGCTGTGTTATTCTCCATAACGACTAATGCAACTCTCCCACCTCGTTCACATCCCTCTCTATCTGACCTGAAACATCTAAATCCCAGAATATTACGTTGCCAGCCTTGTCTTCTCTCAACAAAATCTCTAATAGCTACAACATCACAGTTAAATGTACTAATCCAAGCTCAAAGTTCATCTCCCTTACCTGTCATACTTCTCATGTTTAAACAAATACACTTCAGACTGCCAGTCCCACCATATTAAATTACCTCCCCCATCTGTTCTTCATTTTGGCCTCAGTGGCTTTAGTCTCTAATTCATCATTTCACTTGCTGACCTATTGTTCTGTTCCGACAACCCTGCTACACTAGTTTAAACACTCCTGAGTGACACGAGCAAACCTCCCTGACAGGACGTTGGTGCTCCTCCAGTTTGCAACCTGTCCTCCTTGTACAGGTCCCACCTGCCCTGGAAGGCATCCCAATAATCCACATATCTGAAGGCCTCCCTCCTACACCACCTCTTTTGCCAGGTATTTAACTGTGGTATCTTCCAATTCCTCACCTCATGGCATGTGACTTTAGGGTGTAATCCTGACATTACAACCACCAAGATCCTGTTTTTCAATTTACTACCTAACACTCTGAACTCCCTTTGCAGGACCTTGTACTATATCCTGCCTATGTCGTTAGTACCAACTTGTGCTGCAACGTCTGCCTGCTCGCCCTCCCGTTTGAGAATGTCTCATGCCTGCTCAGAGACATCCTTGACCCTGGCAATGGGGAGGCAACACACAACCCTGGAGGTTTTTTTTGTGGCCACAGAAATACCTGTGCCCCTGACTATACAGTTCCTTATCACGACTGCTCTACTGCATCTTAACCCTCCCTGCATAACGAGACACTGACAAAGATGACCAAAAGCTTGATCAAAAAATTAAATATTAAGGAGAACCTGAAAGAGGAGGCAGGAGGTTTTGGGTAGGATTCCAGCACTGAGGGTTCAATCAGCTTAAAACCACAACCAGAAGCATGGTTATGAGGCTGCAGGGCATTACATAGATGGATAAGAATGAAACCACAGAACAATTTGAAAACAAGGATGAGAAATGTAAGATTTTAACCAGGAACCAAAGTAGGTTTGTAAGCACAACGATGCTGGGTGAACTGACATGCTGAAATTAAAGATACAGCAGCAAAGTTTTAGCTGATGACAAATTGATAGAGAGTAGAATGTGGGAGACCTGCCAAGAATGCATTACAATAATCATGTCTGGTGATTTCAGCAGATGAATGGAGGAAAGGAAGGAGTTGCGCAACATTTTGCAGATGGAAATAAACAGTCATACTGACGGCCCAGATAAATAGTTGAAACTCATATCAAGGCCAAAGAGAACAGTATGGTTATGAATAGTCTGGTTTAACCTCAGACAGTAGCCTGGATGACAGATGGAGTTTGTACCCTGGGAACAGAGATTGTGACGTTCTCTGTTATTTAATTGGAGGAAATTTCTGCTCACTCAATGCTTTATATTGGACAATCGATCTGACAAGTTGGAGAGACGGTTTGAGAGAATGATGCAGACTTGGAACTGGGTGCTTTCAGCATACATGTGAAAACTGGCATGTATGTGTCTACATCATATCATGAAAAACAGCATGTAGCTGAGAAACAGGAGGAGACCAAGGAAGGATCCTTGGGGATCACTGAAGATAACTGCACGAATGAGATAATGGCCAGAAACATCAAGCAAGATATCAAGGAACAAGTGCTAATAGGTAATTCTTTGATGAGTGAACAATGATTTCCATTTAGAAAGAGTGTGGGCTAATGACTGAACAGTGCGTTGTATGACAATTCTGACAAGCACTAGACCGGAAGCTTCATTAACTGATCAGAGGATAGTGAAGAGACCATGATCCAGAAGAAGATTTCATTTGAAAAAAGGATAAATGTGGACAATATGGGCTGAAATAAGACAGAACTTCAAAGGTGACAAAAACATGAAGGTTTGAAGATGAACAGTGGCAGTGAGAAAGATGATTGTGCAAAGTGGCGCCAAGATATGTAGTCTCAATACTAAAATAAATTGATGAGATGCTCAGGCTTGGTGTTAGAACTGAAGGTTGCTAGGCTGAACACAAAACAGAGAATGATAAATTGAGAACATAGGAAGGTCATACATTGGGAGCAGGAGGAAAAGATTCATGGGAATACAGAAGAGAAAGATATGGAGGCTGGTGGGGCCATATTAAATTGTATGTACAAGGAGACAGCAGGGTATACGTCAGAGGGCGAGAGGCAACAAGGTGAGCTTGGTTGCAGTCAACATGCAAATATTGGCAAAAGTAGGACAAATCAGAGATTGAGCTGTAGAATTAAGCACAAATCAAGAAATGAGAATTTAATGACTGCAGGTAGCCAGTCAGTAAAGAGGTGTAGATAGGCAAGGCAGATTGTGAAAGAGATTGTAAAAGAGATGACATTGCCTAAAGTCAACAAACACAGTAGGAAAAATGAGAGTCAGAGAAATTTGTAAAAATACGCAGCAGACTTCTAAAAAATGGATCAGAATCTTTTACAAGGAACAACTGTTTGAACATAGGAATGGAATGGGAAAGTAGAGTTCAAGAAGGAATTTGTCTTTTTCCAGACAGCATCACTTACATGAATTCAAACAGGTTTACCACCTGATGATGTTCAGACTGTGACTCGTATTAAATGAAAAGACGAATCTGACATAGCAAGAAAGCTACAGAGTGATAGAGTCATCTGCAGAAAAAAACATTTTTAGTGTAGTGAATGCAGCTGCTGAAGTACCGAAGTACCAGAAAGTAGGAGAGTTGGTCATGTTAACTAGGTTGTCATGGTCTGGAGATCAGAGCAGTTATCTTGAGTTTGGCAGCTACGACAAATAATTTAATCACTGTATCAGGATAAAGTGCAACTTCAATTTTTTGCCAAAAAGCTCTTTGCTGCAAAATGCTGGAATGCTAAAGGGAAAACCAGTGATGTATGCAGCTGTTGAAACCATCTTTACAAGCTAAATGATCAAACAAACGTTGTGACATCTAATAAATTTTGTGGACAGGAGCAAATATCTAATATTGGGTGGTGGTGTCGTGGAATCTCAGGAAATCAATAGAGTGCCAGATAAAGGAGATGCACATGGGTATAAGGGTTTGTGTCATATCAGAATGCAGTAAATGGAAACTGGCGGCATCTGGTCTTACACCATGCACAACATTCATGGACCATAGCAAGAATGAAGCAAACAGTAAATGGACACTGAAGGTATTTTGCACAAATGTGTGTGGGTAGATTAAAACTTGAAAAAAAAAATCCGGAGACAACATTGCCTTTCTTGATGATGGCTACCGAGAATCATACATGCGAAAAAGTTATTCTTCTCCAGTGCTGAAAAGGAGGGATCACAACCTTCTGCTTTTGGTTGCACTTCCCAGAGCCTGCAAGCTAACATCTACAAGCCCCAGAACCTGGAGTCTAAAAGCCAGCATCATTTTATCACTGTTTCTTAATTTACTCATACAGCCTTGATTGTTTCAGACCATATGTAAGGCTAAAGGTCATCAGAACAAAGGAGCTCAATGGAGATCCAAAGAAGTTAGAATTCAAAACTATATACTTGGTGAATTAAATACATTATTGATAGATTCCACCTACTGAGCCAGGAATCACTGTCCTCAAGAGATTTGAGGAAAACAAAGGGGAAAAAAAACATATACTTTCAATTTAAAGTTGCACCTAAATATGAGAAAAGGGATGGCTTACTGTTGTTTTCATATAAAAGGTTTTAATGGGTGACATTTTGTTTTAATGCAAGAAACCAGAAATAAAATAACGCTATTGAGAGCAATTTCTACAGAGCGCACAAAGACAACTACTGTTGAAGAACTAAACTTCACTCCTGTTTTAGCACAAGTTTCTTTACACATTATTTTTAACTCAACATAATACATTCTTTATCATGTTAGATCTAGCTTCCATCTGAACATACAACAGCATGAAGCTGCCAACTTTCCAAGGTTAGAACTTTTTATTAAGGTTCAGGGAAAATCAAAATAAAATGAAATTTAGTACTTACTCTGAAGGCATACTCGTCATGACTAGTGTTCTGCTTGGCTAGGAAAATAAAGAAAATCAGTATCAATTCTTAAAGCTTATAATCATTCCCGGTCACGCTGATAAACACAATTACAGCAAGGATTTTGCAAGAACCGGAACAGCAGATTATGGTTAAAGAGTTTGTTGTAATTTGCTGATTAAGACAGTTTAATGTTATACAAGAGAGTACTTTCACAGTTCTGATGAAGGATCACAGGCCTGAAATGTTAACTCCGTTTCCCAAGAGATGGTGCCCAACCAGCTGAGAGTGTCCAGTATTTTCTGTTATTTATTTTAAATTTCCTGCATGTCAGTGCTTCGTTACTTCCACATTATTGTATGCAACAATGGTTTATATTAATATCAGCAATTTCTGTTTATAGTTATGAGTATGGAGCCATACATGTATTTTCTATGCTTAAAACGCAAGAACTTTAAAAAAGAATCATTCAGCGAATATAGGTATCACTTAGATACATTTCTGCATGGTGATTCCGAGCCGGAAATCTGGTAGGGAGTCCCAATACTTGTCCCAGTAATGATTAAAAAACAGCAGTCTATTTCCAAATCTCGATGTTGTGTCAACTGGACATAATCAGTGTCTACCCTATTCTTATTGCCACAGGAATTATAGTTTTGATTCATGTTAACTGCAGGGAGTTTTAAACCAAATATCAATGATTTGATTACATTTTATTATACAAGGTAGTCATTTCCCAACTGTTGTGAAGGACAAAATTTACTTGGCACTAATCAACTTAATCTGGGCGTTATTCAGTCTAAATGCATGCAGGCATGATCAGTTTCACCATGAGAAATCGTAAACAGCATCAATCAACAATCAGTTGCAAACCTTGTGCTAGCTGATCTTAGGGAGAGGAGACTATTGATAAAGCAACTGAGGATGTTTGGGCCTGAGACAGTATGCTGGGGAATTCCTGCAGCCATACTATTCAGATGATTAGTCTCCATCACTAGCACCATCTTGTGATACCTATGATTCTAGAAAATCAAGAGTTTTCCTCACAATCCTTATTTCAAATTTTGCTAGAATTCCTAGTAACATAGTCAATTGCTGCCCAGATATTATGGAAGTCACTCTCACCTCACCTCTGGAGCTTAACTCAATTTGACCATGTTTGGATCAAGACTACATGAAGAACTTAGCAGCACAGGTTCACCATGTCTGCACCAGCCACAATGTCATTCTCTACTAATCCCATCTGCCTGCACATGGTCCATGTCCCTCTAGTCCCTGCCTCTTCACACATCTAAAAGGTCTGGAGGTAAGTAATCCAGTCGGATCTGAACCTAAGCATTGTTAAAAATTGGCGACTAAGTACTAATGATTCAGAGTAGGCTGAGACAGCAATAATTAACTGTGTAGATTTGTCCTGATTTTGTGGACAGCTGAGAGCTGGACAATTTTCTACATCGTTGGGTAAAGGCCTGTGTTGTAGCTGCATTGGAACAACTTGGCACAGGGTGGGGGGCATGGGGGCGGGAGATGCTGCTAGCTCTGCAGTACAAGTCTTCAGTTCAGTCAATGGCAGGGACATTTCCACGCTCTAACAACTCTTGACTATTGCTGGAACATAGTCACAGCCCATAGCCTTTGCACACCCAGTGCCTTCAACTGTTTTTGGATCTCACACAGAGTGAAGGTTGAAATCTGAGATTCTGGAAACCACAGGAGGCGGCTGAGATGCATCATCTATGCAGCATTTCTGGTTAAACATTAATACAAATGCCTCAGCCTTGAAATCTGGTAATGCCTGGGTGCCCCCTGCCTTACTCCCAACACACAGCGGTGAACATTGGGATGTATGTAGATCCTCCTCATCCTGTTGTTTAATTGTTCAGCACAATTTATGACTGGATGTGGTATAACTGCAGAGTATTAATCTGATCCACTGGCACAGGATTGCTTAGCACCATCTATCAAATGCTGATTCCATTGGTTAGAATACAAGTTGTACTTGGTGAGAGTGTCACCAGGTTGACACCTCATTTCAAAGTATGGCTGATGCTGTTCCAACTGGCATGCTCTTCTGCACTCTTGACTGATAACTTGGCCTTGTGGACTGAGGGAAGTGCGTGGCCAGGAGGTTATATTTGTGAATGAATGCAATTCAGCTACTGCTGATGATACATAGAGCCTCATGGATATTCATGGATCTGTTGTGAATTTTCATTTAATCTTTCCTGTTCTCCAACCTTCCCATATATTTGTCTTCACACATCTCCCCCCTTTCTCAAAACCTATTATATTTTCAAACTTAATAGGTTGTGAATGAAAAGTCATAAACCTGTTGAGTGAACCGTGATTATCTTTCTGCAGATGGTGCCTGATCTGTTATTTCCAGCATTTTCTTTCAGTTTTACAGCATCAACAGCATTTTGTCTTTGAAATTTATGGATAAGTTCAGAGCATTTTCAGATTAGGAGTAGGTGCATGATTAAATTTGAATGCCCAAACATTCTGACTGAATTGAATCACGTTGTTATTAGCACTGTAAAACTTCGACTCTGTTCATTATCTCTTCCCCTAACAAGGCTATGCTAGTTCTGTGAGCAATTCATATTTGTTGAAGCGCTCAACCACTCTATCCTTAAAGCAGCTTCCACATAATTGATGCTAAAATTACAAATTGATGCTGAAATGTAGGCATGAGGTGTTGTTCTACCACTATTCCCAACTAATGGAGTTTTGTACATTGGCTACACTGTGGGTAACCTTAAAAGTATTACTCGATAAATTTGAATATTTGTTGAACAAGTCGTCAACTGAAAAAATAAAAGTGGATTTTTTGGGATACTTTAATATCAGTATTTTGACTGAACATGGAACCTGTCACAAATTCCTCAATTTAAATTATTTCCTTCCATTTTGTAAATAAATCTACATGAATAACGTTTGACGCATCAACTTTAATGTATAATATTTTTTTCTAGGGCTAAAAGAAAACAAAGCTCAAGAGAAAGTCAGCAGCATCTGTGGAGAGAGAAACAAAAAGTTATTATTTTGGGATCGGTATAACTGTTCTTCAGAACTGGACTCAATATCAACTCAACGTGGTTTTTCTCTCCACAGATGCTTCCAGAGATAGCTCAGTTTCTCCAGCACTTTCTATTTTTATTTCAGATTTTGAGCATCCGCAGTGTTTTGGTTTTATTCTGAAAGAAAATATGTTGCTTGATAATTCTGATCATCATCCAGTATTCACAATGTTGTTCAAAAAAATGAACAAATATTTAAAAAGTGAAAAAATATGCCAACAAACTGAAGAAGACATGCAATTTGAATGCAGATCTATCCACTGAAAATTGGGATGACACATTTCTATGTAATGCTATAGGAAATGCCAATACCCTTTTGCTTGAAAAATATCTTGAAAAATATTTCAAAAAAGACAAAGTTCAGAAGGAAATTAAGAAAACATTGATTAATGTAGTATGTGCAAGAACTGCAGGGTATTGACAATACGGAACTTTGAATATCCAAATAAAGATGGCAATTGTAATGCTGTAATTGACAAAGGAGGAAGAAATTCATGAAATGCCTATCAGAGAACGTGTTTGGTCAGTGTGCCACCAGCCCAAGGAGAAGGGAAGCAGTGTTGAATGCAGTTTTGGAATGAACTGGAAAATCTTTCAATCAGTGAACATTTGCAAAACAGGTCTTATACAATCACCAAATTGAGATAAGTGGCAGAAGAGTACAATCCTTCATATAATCAACAATAAAAAATATTTGATGGGAGGAAGATTAACTTGAGTAAGTTGAAAAGAGATCTTGCCAAGGCAAAACCGTGATTGAATAGTGGGAAAACTTCAACGAGACAACAGTTCAGTTACAGAGAAGACAGACTTCTGGGAAAGAGAGGGAAGGCTTTCAAATTCAGATCTCTCTGGATGACTGTACATGTAGTTGTTAAAGTGAGACAGTAGTAGTACAGGTGATGAGGGGTGAATCAACTCCCCTCTCTTAACCTCCTTTGTTGTCCTCAACAAAGTTTTATTTTCCTTTGAACACAATGTGATTTAAAGGTGTAGTTTCACAGTGCCTAGAAGGGAGCCAACAGCAAGGTTTTCTTGTGCAAAAGAAAAAACAATTTTTAAATTTGTAAATGAGGAAAGTAATAAAAATGAGATGTCAACTATACTTGCAAACAAATATAAAAAGTTAAACCGCAATAGGACCTAGTTCAAAAAGGAAGGTCAAAGAATATACAGTTCAAAGTCCATAAAGTGTCCTTGGAGGCAAGGTTTTAATCTGAGATTACAGTTATTTAAGTGATGCTTTATATCCTCGTTAGTAGCACAGATTTCAGCTATCCTTTGTAAGTTTATGGCATTCTGATGTTCTCACGAAATGCTTTGTCCCTTGAGGATCTGAGAAGGATATTCATCCAGTTCTTCATGTCACAAGTCAATTTTCTCTGTTGGAATAACTCCCTGGAATATAGCTTGTCTGTGTATTCCAGTGTCTAATTCCAACTTTCAAAAGTAGACCATGTCTTTCATATTTACTGTGTGAAAACTTAATCAACAGGTGTAAATCAAAATAGATGAAATTTTCTTTGTCCTTGATTAGTTTCTGTGTCTTTTGATAAAATGTTAGTTTCTGTTCAGTTCAGTGATGGTTTTGTTTATTATGAAGGTTGGCTAATTTGTGAGAGTATCTGATGGCTGCAGCCAAGTCAACGTGCGGAATCCAGTGGCCCAGAGCAGAGCAGGGACGGTGGCCAGTGGGCCTGGAGCAGAGGTGACCACTGGTTGAGAACCGGTAGAGCCTGGACAGACCACGTAGAAGCGCTTATAGAAAGACTGCAATGTCTATCTTTTTGGTTTTATTTCTTATTTCTCCAACTTATACTTATGCCATGCACATCCGTAATGTAGTGTAACATTTTGTCTTTATTTTCTCTACTTTTTGTACCTACATACTTTGTATCTAAGATGGCACCGTGTTGACGACATTGTACACCTTTCATTGTACTACTGTTCTTTTGTAA